AAAAAAAAAAAAAAAAAAGAAAATAACAGAAGTCAAAGGGAACCTCCAAGTGAAGGGCAGAGAATGTGATCAGGACTGAGGAGGACAGAGACGGATCCCGGGTGACGGCAGCCACGCTTCGCCATGACTTGAGGAAGAAGACACCCTGGAGGTGTGGGGAGAAGTTCTCACTGTAGTAGGGGACGCGGTGACCACAGGGCTCTGTCCACTTCTCAGGAGGGGGAAGGGAAGATGGGATAGGATGGGAAGGAAAAAAGGGAAGGGTTTTCACCTTTGGATTATAGCCTATTATCTCTGGGGTTTATTGTGTGTTTGGTGACTAGAACAGAAGGTCTGTGACAGCCTGGGCAACATAGTAAGATCCTGTTTCGAAAAAAAGAAAAAAAAAAAAAATTGCCTAATGGCAGAAGTCTGTAGTCCCAGCTACTCAGGAGGCTGAGGTGGGAGGATGGCTTGAACCCAGGAGTTCAAGCCATGATTGTGCCACTGCACCCCTGCCCAGGTGACAGAGCAAGACCTTTCCCTAAAAATTACTTTAAAAAATAAAACTCCAAAAATAAATATAAAAACAGAAATAACTAAAAAGAAAAAAAGAGAGAAAGCTCCATGAGGGCAGGGACAATAAGCTCAGGCTGTTGTATTCTGTTGTATCCCCAAGGTCTGGAATAGTACCTGGCACATCAAGGAATTAAATCAATATCTGGCCAGGCTTGGAGGCTCACACATGTGATGCCAGCGCTTTGGGAGGCCAGGGTGGGAGGACAGCTAGAGCCAGGAGTACAAGAGCAGCCTGGACAACACAGTGCAACCCCATTTCTACAAAGAATCTAAAAATTAGCCAGGCATGGCAGCAGCCTCTTGTAGTCTCAGCTACTCTGGAGGCTGAGCAGGGTAGGATCGCTTGAACCCAGGAGGTTTTTTGAGACCAAGTCTCACTCTGTCACTCAGGCTCAAGTACAATGGTGTGATCTCAGCTCACTGCAACCTCCGCCTCCTGAGTAGCTCCCGAGAAATCAAGTGATTTCTCCTGCCTCAGCCTCCCGAGTAGCTGGGACTACAGGCGTGAGCCACCACACCCAGCTAATTTTAGTATTTTTAGTAGAGACGGAGTTTCACCATGCTGGCCAGGTTGGTCTCAAACTCCTGACCTCAGGTGATCCACCCACCTTGGCCTCCCAAAGTGTTGGGATTACAGATGTGAGCCACTGTGTCCGGCCAAGCCCAGGAGTTTAAGGCTGCAGTGAGCTATGATCGTGCCACTGCACTCTAGCCTGGGTGACAGAGCAAGACACTTGTCTCAAAAAAAAAAAAAAAAAGAAATCAATATTTGTCTAATGAAGTGTTGATAAATATCAGGGGATGGGAGGATACCTGAGAAAATGTGTGAGAGTGAGAGGTGTGGAAGACCACCGCGGTGGACGCAGAGAAATCAGTCCAGCCTCTGCTGCCCGCTGGATTGAGGGTAAAACCTCCCCTTATTCCCCACCTGGCTGCAGGGTAGCCAGCCTGCCTCTGCCCATGTACCTTCTTCACATGAAGGGCTGTAATCACGTGGCTCTCGTCATATTCCCGTTTGGAACGGACATCTGGAAAGGAAAAGTGTTTAACTAAGAACTGAATTTGCAAAGGAACATATGACCATAACTACTTAGAGGACTTCCATCATCATCGACATCTATTTGTTGGGCAGCTAAGGGATAGTCATTGTTGGTTTAAAACTTGAGATGCCGGCTGCGCGATGGCTCACCCTCGTAATCCCAACACTTTGGGAGGCTGAGGCAGGTGCATCACTTGAGGCCAGGAGGCCTAGTCAACATGGCAAAACCCCATCTCTACTAAAAATACAAAAATTAGCTGGGCGTGGTGGCGCATGCCTGTAATCCCAACTACTCAGGAGGTTGAAGAAAGAGGATCACTTAAACCTGGCAAGTGGAGGTTGAGGAGAGCCAAAATCATGCCGTTGCACTCCAGCCTGGGCAACAGAGCAAGATTCTGTCTCAAATAAATAAAGAAATGGAGGAAGCAAGGGAGGGAGGAAGAGAGGGGAAGAAAGAAATCAAATTTGAAGTGAGCTCACACTAAATCCCCATCCAGGCTGGAGTACAGTGGCATGATCTCAGCTCACTGCAACCTCTGCCTCCCAGGTTCAAGCGATTTTCCTGCCTTGGTCTCCCAAGACGCTGGGATTACAGGTATAAGCCACCGCACCTGGCCTCTCAACAGCTTTCTAAAGCAGCAATCCCCAGCCTCTTTAAAAGCACCAGGGACCAGTTCGTGGAAGACAATTTTTCCACAGAACAGGACAGTGGGGTTGGGGATGAACTGGGGATAACTCCAGCACATTACATTTTTTGCGTATTTTATTTCTATTGTTATGACATTGTAATATATATTGAAATAATTCTATAACTCATTACCACGTAGAATCAATGGGATCCCTGAGCTTGTTTTCCTGCAACTAGACAGTCCCATCTGAGGGTGATGGGAGACAGTGACAGATCATCAGGCATTAGATTCTCATAAGGAGCATTCCACCTATATCCCTGGCATCTGCAGTTCACAGTAGGGTTCACACTCCTATGAGAATCTAATGCTGCAGCTGATCTGACAGGAGGCGGAGCTCAGGCAGGAATGTGAACAATGGGGAGTGGCTGTAACTACAGGTGAAGCTTCACTGGCTTCCCTGCTGTTCAGCCTGGCTCCTAATAGGCCACAGACTGGTATTGGGGGCTGGGGACCCCTGTTTTTTTTCTTGAGACAGGGTCTCACTCTGTTGCCCAGGCTGGGAATGCAGTGGTGCGATCTTGGTTCACTCCAACGTCCATTTCCCGGGTTCAAGCAATTCTCCCGCCTCAGCCTCCCGAGTGTGGATAACCCCCCACATGGGCACCGAGGAAGGAGCGTATGCAAACCCCAGGCACAATTAGTGCCTGAAGAATATCTTAAAGTGTTATTACTCAGTTATTTCCTTCATATAATCCTTTATATATAATCATATTATAGTATTAGTGCTTGAAGTATAACTTATTGCTTACATATATCTAGCTTGTATAATCATACTTAGTACTTATATCTAGCGTACTTAGTTCTATATAATCTTTCTATATAATTTTATAGGTGTTGTATTGGGAGCTGTACCGACACATTTAGTGCTGATTTATAGAATCCTTCTATATAACCACATAGTAGTTTATAGTAGGAGGAATACCTAGAGCAGTCACAGAACAGAAGCAGTACATGGGAAAACAGCCAGACCAGGACACGAACCAAAGACCCAGGCGGTGGCGTCCCTGCCTGAAAGGGCATACGCTGTATGGCAGGGATGGAGCAAGAGCCTCTCCTGATAAAGGAGTTGTAGTGCCTTGCATCCAGTTCCTGTGGAAAGTAGGCCTCAGGCCTGAGATGCTGGAAATAGCCGAGGGAGAAGAACCCCTCTGGTGTGACCAGTCACGGCAGCCGTACACCCTGTCAGCCTTTTCAGGCTTCTGCGCTAGCTCAAATCATCCTCCCATAAATATCTTAGAGAAAAGCACAAGTCTGTCAGCCCCCACTGCATTGGCTTACAGTATCCTTCTATTAGAAATCCTTTGAAGTCTCCGGCCCCCAGATAAGAAGTGTTGCGCACGACACCTGTTGCACACAGCCCACCTCCTTCTCTTGGTGACCTAATGGGGGTGGAGCCCTTTTTTCTACACGGCCCCCTACTGCGCACGGCCCACCTCTCTACCCAGGTGACATAATGGGGTGGCCTTCTCACCTGCTACTCACATGATTATGTATGTCCTATCATTAAGCCTATAGATGACCTCACTCACGACCCTTCCCCCTGCCTTGTACCCAATAAATACAGATGCTTCTGGACGTTCGGGGCCTCACCTGTCTCTGCACATAGGTGGCACAGCGCCCCCCTCCCCACCCCCCGAGCCCAGCTGCTTTTTTCCAGTTTTTCTGTGTCCTGCCTCATTTCTTGGATCCTGCGCTTCGGCACAGCTATAGGGGACACCCCACAACCCTGTGGGGCCAATAGCCCTACACCGAGTAGCTGGGATTACAGGTGTGCACAACCATGCCTGGCTAATTTTTTATACTTTTAGTGGAGATGGGGTTTTGCCCTGTTGGCCCAGCTGGTCTTGAACTCCTGGCCTCAAGTGATTCACCCACCTAGGCCTCCCAAAGTGCCGGCATTACAGGCGTGTGCCCCCTCACCTGGTCCAGGGACCCCTGTTCTAAAGTCATTAATTCCCCCTCCCGAAAGTTTAACTCATCAAAAATAATATTTGATGGACACTGTGTTCACCAGCCCCCGTTTTTTCCCCCCAAGTACTTACCCAATAAACAGAGATAGTTGGGTTCTATTAATCTGGATAGCTTTGTGACCTGGTTCAGGATGTTGTAAAGCTCTGTCGGTTCACACAAAACCAAACGAGGCATCCTACTGGGAAGAATTAGAATGCACAGTGTAACACACCTCTTTCTATTTTAGATGAGTGATCACAAAGTAATATATTGAATTCAGCTCTTTTTTTTAAACATCCTTCAAACAAAGATGACAGTAATCATGTAAGTGATCAGGAATGCTTCAAAACTGTGGAGTGAAATGTGTGCAGAGGAGAATAAAATCTTAAATACAACGTATCTAGCCAGGCATGGTGGCTCATGCCTGTAATCCCAGGACTTTGGGAGGCTGAGGCAGGTGGATCACTTGAGGCCAGGAGTTTGAGACCAGCCTGGCCGACATGACAAGACCCTGTCTCTACTAAAAATACAACAAAACTTGGCAGGGTGCGGTGGCTCACATCTGTAATCCTAGGACTTTGGAAGGCTAAGGCAGGTGGATCACCGGAGGTCAGGAGTTCAAGACCAGCTGGCCAACATGGTGAAACCCTGTCTCAACTAAAAATACAAAAATTAGCCAGTCATGGTGGTGAGCACTTATAGTCCTAGCTACTCAGGAGGCTGAGGCAGAAAA